CGTGGTATCCGCGCATACCAACAGTGACGACATTCTCGTAGGGAGCAGCGCGCACAGCACCCTCCATGAAGTAGTCGTAGAGAGTGGCGTTGTTGGTCGCCCAAGACCAGCCAGATTCAGCACCCTTGGCGACCTTGCTCCATTCCTGGGTGGCGCGGACCATGGGCTCAGTGTGGGAAGTTCCCATCACAATACCGTATTCGTCAGCAAGAGGTTGGTTGCGGGCGTCGTCGACGTTGAACATGCCGTTCCACATAGCGGGCCAGAGGTAGTTGGCCTTGGAGCGAAGCAGCAGTTCGAAGACCTTGGAGTAGAACTGAGCTCCAAAGGGTGCGCCATAAGGAGACTGAGGGTAGCGGTCGTTGGCCCAGCCGGTCAGAGCTGGGGCTTCATCGTTGATGAAGAAACCTCGGTACTTGACAGATGGTGTCTTCTGGACCTTGGTGGTTTGCAGCATATAGATGGAGTCATGTTTCTTCGCAGGTACGTCGGCGAACCAGTGCCATGGAGAGACACCGATCTGCTCAGAGATATCGTAGATACCGTAAATGGCACCACGGCGATCGCTGCCTAGAAAGAGTTAGCGTGGAGCATCAAGGCCAATCTCGGGATACATACCAGCAATGACAAGTGCGTCGCCAGTCATGTTTCCAGCCTGCTTCACCACCGCACTAACGTATGACTCCCATTGACCCTCAATCTCGCTGACGTCGAGCTGTCCGCTCGCAATCATGTCGTCGATCAGACTTGAATTGCCAATGGTTCCCACGATGATGGTGCCAGCAGATGAGTTGGACGCAGCACTGCCACTAACGCTCCAATCCTCGCTGATGCCAGTGACATTGAAGATCATGGAAGCATTAGCCGTCGGCGTTCCAGAAGTCATGAGTGTACCATTGGTACCCGTAACGCGTCCAAAGTCGATAGCGAGGTCGTGAGCAGCGCGCAGAACACCAGGCCAATCCGCAGCATCGGCGTGGATACTGACAGGAGAGCCACGAGCGGCGAGAAGAGACGAGCCATCGCCTTCTGTAGAAGAAACAGTAGGCTTGCGGAAGGCCTCGAGAGCAGAAGCCGAGCCAGCAAAGGCAACGGAAAGCGACAGGGCGCTGACCACGGTGCGAGAGAAGAGCTCCATGATGGCTTGGTCAGTAGTCGAGCAACGTCCTGAACAGCGACCAAAAACGCGGAGAATCCCCAGCTTTTGAATGGCTTCCCCAGGCCATACGCCGCGGTGATAGCCACGACGGTAACCCCGTAGTTACCAAGAGATCCCCACCGCCCTAACCGTTTAGTCAACTAGTCATCGTGCATGTTCGTACACCGAATGACCACCTTCCTGTGAATTGTCTAGCAGCGACTGCATATCCAGGAACAGCATGCAGTTGCTGGCCAACGGCCCGATATTGAGGGACCCTAGTCGCTTTACCCCAGCCGGGACCGGCTGTTCTATGGCTAAATTGACGTGACGTACATGAGCCAGTCGCCTTGTCGCTGCAAGACTTCTAGAAGGGCAAGCAAGCAGTCTTGGCGGTAGGTCGGAGGACACGTGCAGCATGCAAATATCCGGATCCATGCACTGCACATGGAAAGTCGGTAGCAAAGGCGCTGTGCGATTGATTGGTACCAACTAGGCGTCCAGACAATCGGATACCATCTCTATGATGCTGAGACGACGCAGAAATTGTTCCGTGCGAGTTCGCCAGGCTTTCCCTCGACGACGAGCAAGTGGCCGCCTGATTACTGTCATTGCAGACGGAGATTTCCAAAAGAAACGCAGGGCGCGAAGCGCGAAGAGGCTTGGAAAACGGGTCTACGGGCTCATGGAGCGGCACTCCCCACGGTGGGTGAAAAGGCTAAATGCAGTCCCCCGCAAACTGCTCAAACCGCTCTGGGCCTAGTGCGGCGGCGAGGCGCCAAGCATCGTGAAAAATGTTGGAAGCGCGAATTATCCAAAGCAACATACAGCCGTCTCCGCCCCCCATAGCGCCATACAACGTCCGACTCGATTAGTGGAGATTTGCATACCATCGTGTGATTAGTCGTGTTCGGAGATCAATCACCCGACTAAGCCTTCGTACACCGTTCCGGAAGGGAGTCCAAGACGCTCCGACTTTTGTCAAACCTCCGCATCCTCCACCCCACGTACGCGTCTACTGCCGACCGTCGCAATGGCCCAAGGCGCAATCAAGAAGACCAAGGCCGCTCCTCCGAAGAAGTGCGTTCTATCCCCGCGCTCAACACTCCACCAAGCGCAAATACTCTCCCAACACGCATACTAACATCTGATCTCTAGGTCCTCGGTCGCGCGCAAACAAACTGGCGCCCGCGTCATTAAGCCCAAGAAAGCGTCTATAATCACACAGAACAAGATCAAGCACAAGAGCAGCTCCGGCCTCGTAGGCAATACAGAGAAGATGCTTGCGCAGAAGGCGGGGCATCTCGAGATACTCAAGGGGGGAAAGAGGGATAAGAGGGAACCCGGCGACAAGAAGAAGAGTGGTTGAGATGTGGACTTTGTCGAATAGATATTTGGCAAGGCGCGTAGGATTATGACCTGGGTCTCTGGGGTTTGGCATGAAGTAATCCGCCCCAACGCGAGAGCGGCTTCATGGACAGCGAGAAAAGTGTGCGGCGTGAGGAACGATGAGCCTTCCATGGTTGTGCGATCGGTATCATGCGATACAAGCCAGGCCATTAGTGATTACCTGAGGGAATCAACAACAGAAGGCATACTTGAAGGACATGGGATGGAAGCCGAAGATGTCATATGTTGAACAACATGGTCCATTCGTGAGGCAAATGCCGAGCTCATCCAGTGAGTATTCAGGTAGCATATCCCAGCGCCTTGCCGCGACCAGAGAAATGAAAGAAACTATCATATCCATGCCACGTCCTCAAATGATACCCGCTCGTGCTGCCTCACCACCACCAGCATCCACCACAGCTTCCCTCGCCTTCCCTCGACCTAGTCCACCCTCTCCAACCCCCATCCTCCGCGCAACGTAGCGCTGTGCAACAATACCCACACTCAAGTTGATCGTCTCCTCCATCCACTCACTAACCCACTCCCGCGGATCAACACCACCACTTTCGATAATCTCGTAAATCTCCTGCGGTAGTTGTTGCTCCTCGCCCTCAGCTTCGGTATTGGCCGGCGCATCTAGCCAGTCGACCCATTTCGACGGGAAAGACTGGCTGATGGACTTGAAGGAGATGCCGTGGATAGGGTCGTGCAGGTAGATAGCGAAAGCCACTTCCTCTCCGTCCTCCTTTTGTTCTTCCACATCCGACTTTTCTTCTGAGGATGATGTAGCGAAGAGTTCGTCTTGTACGGGGTAGCTGATAGCTTGGATGGCAATAAAGATGTCGCTGCTCCTGACTGGGTTTGTTTCGCTCAGGACCTCTGTCGCTTGCTTGGCCGCTTCTTCAACACCTCCTCTTGCGCCAAAGAACTCATTCGCGTAGGACTCTGCGCTGACGCGTGCGAGCTTTGTGCCTTCTACAAGTCCTTTGACCACGGAAAGGTCGCGCTTGTCGGTGTGTCGCCACCATGGCCCGTCGTTCCAGCCTCCGCCGCCGCCCCGGTAGCCGTCTAGCGATCCGCGCTGTGTTGACTCTGAGCCGCGTTGGATGACCATAAGGTCACCGCCTTCTACTTGTGCCATGACTCCGGCGAAGGTCTGGTAGATGAGGGGGTCGAGCGAGGGGTACCCGATGAGGTCGTGTGTGATGTGAATCTGGAGGCGTTCATGCTGGGAGATGGGTGGTGCGAGGGTGTTTAGGATGTTGGTAAAGGTAGGTACGGCACGCTTGCCGAGTTCACCTCCTGTAGCTTGTTAGATTGAGATGGCATGGATGGATTGGAAGATGAATCGTACCAATGCCGCGAAGAGCCCCAACGTTCCCCCGTACTTGCTCTGCCCATCGTTGGGCTTCTTGGTTCTTTTGGATCTCTTGGTAAGCGGCTTCGGCTTGCTTCCTCGCCGTCTCTGCTGCTGCAGTGGCTGTGGATACAAGTCCTCCCCATCCACCTCCCCACCAAGATCCACCTGACTGCTTCTCCTCCTGGGGCTCTGGTGCTTGTTGTTTGGCGGGCTCCTCTTGGGTTGGCGCGAAGCTCTGGTGGTACGAACGGGTGCTCTCCCCTGATTTCCTCGGCACTGAAGGTCGGTTGTCTTCGCTTGTGCGTGCTGATCCAGTGGAAGAGGGAGTAGCAACGCCTGGTGCGCGGCGGCTGCTCGATGTAGTCGACGACGAGGCTACTTTGGGTGTGTTTGGGCGGCTGATCTGGCGGGGAGCTGGTTGAGCCTTGCCCAATTGCTCCAGCTCGTCCAGATCCTTCAGTGCATCTTCATCCTCCTGGCGTTGGATCTTCTGACGCGGTGCGCGAGACCCTTTGGCATGCTTCGGCGGGGGTGCAGGAGTCTCACCAGCCAGAGCTTCTAGTTCCGCGAGTTCCTCGTCAGCTGTCTTGGGTGGCATGATGGATGGAAGATAAGGAGACTAGTTCAAGGTGATAGTGCCCACAGTCACGAGTCACTGAGAGAGCGGAGGCGTATATAGTCGGCGGATATCACTGCAAACATCAAGTCATGGCCGTCCTGTTTGGACCATCTGACAGCTAGATGCCAGTCAGTTTAGCGTGTTGATGTCATTGGCTGCCTGAAATGCGCCAAGCGCGATCATGGTTCGGCTCGCTTTTGCTGAAGCAGCCACGCTCCGTAACAAAGATCATCACACTCGATTCACTGACTATTCCATTTCCCATTTCCTTTTCAAGATACCCTCTATCACCTGCTAGCTTTTATTTGCGCGCGCTCTTTGCGGAAGCGCAAGGTTCTGTTCATCTTCTTCGCTCACAGCTTTTGTCACCCTGAAGGCTTGCGATTCGCGCTACGCCCCTTCGGCCCCTACATGGAGACATTGTCCCGACAGGTACACCCACATCAAACTCAACACAACATTCACTACTTGCATTGGCCTCGCGTATCTTCCTGATGCCACGTCCAAGGGGTGCGGCTACGCGCGGTGCCACACGTCGCAATTCGCAGCAAGATGACACGCCTTCCCGGACCCGTGGTCAAGCAGCAAAACAAGCCCCGTCAGAACCAGATGCGCCAGACACGGTAGCACCAACATTCAGTCCCACCAAACTGAGTCCAACCATCACCAGGAAGACTACTCGCTCAGCTTCCAACATTTCTGGTAATTCATTCGAGGCGCCGTCTGCGTCCGAAATTTACGCATCTTACGAGCACCCGTTGTTCATGGTCTTTGGCCTGTCACCCGAGTTCTTTGACGGTCTCAAGAAGCACCATGGAAAACTTCCCAAAGAACGCAAGTCACTAGTTGGCGCACTTCCAGAGCGCTCACCTACCCCGGAAGAAGCCTCTGAAACTGACGATGAGAGCGCCGAAGAGAGTGAGGTTGAAGTGCCTGTTGCGCCTCCGCCAGCGCCAAGAGGTCGTGGACGCGGTGGTCGAGGCTCACGTGGCGGACGCGGTCGAGGCGGTCGCGGCAGAGGCAGTCGAGGAGGACGCGGTCGCGGCGGTACCTCAAGAGGGACTTCATCTGCGCCATCAAAAGCTTCTCGCAATGCTGCCGCCATGTTTCCACTTACAGAAGATGATGATGATCAGCCATCCAATCAGAGCACACCTAACGGCACCGCCAAGCCATCTATGCGACTACTCAACAACAACCGTCTGCATAGCTCTGATGATGAGAACGAAGAGGCGATCGAGGATGACGAGAGCGAGGCCGAGTATGATCGCATAGACGTTGTACAGAAACCATCCAGAACACCCCAAGGTTCTGCGCCACCCGGTCAAGACTCACTCGAAGGCGGTTCACATACATCAGCACCGACACGCGAGTCAAGACCAGAGCCCACGTCTAGGAGATCTACCAAGCTTGCGGTTCCCAAGATCGCGCTGCCAGAGTCAGCCTCACAGACACCGCGAGATTCTGCATCGACGCCCGCTGAGTCCGCAGTCCCAAAACTGCTAGAGCCTGAGGAGGATGTGCTCTCCGAGTCAGATCTTCCCGATCCCTTCATCGAAGACGCGCCTTCTCCGATCGAAGCCGAGTGCGAAGATAGAGCAGACTACCTCCTGCAGAAGCGCTTCAAGCCGATGACTGACGTACAAGCTGCTATTGCCGCCTTGACGAAGTTTCCAGCAGCGCAACGGAGTACTGAGAATCTCTATGCTCTGACGCAGAACACGCAACAGATCCTCAAAGCTTGGCAGGACGAGTATCTCGTGTTGGACGCAAGGGTATGTTACTGTCATCCTTTCATATGTATCCACTAACAGTTCTAGACTGCACCTCACATGCATCCAGCAAAGAAGGCTTGCAACGGTGGACGTATCCCGCTGGCTCCAGAAGTCTTCGAGGACATGAAAGAGGCCGACCTCTATGGCTATGTCTACGACCCAAAGAAGCCACCCGGTTGTCAGGATCCTTTCCTACAGCGACCAGGCGCGGACAAGGGTGGCAAGAGAGAACTACGCACGCGTCGCACACGGGATCAGCTTGAGTCGGCAGCTCCCAGTGAAGAGGAAGACGAAGAAGATGGTGAAGGTCGACCCTCCAAGCGACAACGAAGAGCCACCCGCAAGTTCGACGGTACTGACACAGGAACTGGTGCCAACACCCCCAAGAAGCACAACGGTTGGGGCGGCGCGCGCAAGAAAGGTGTTAGTCGATTCACGAAGCCAACCTCGGAGACGCCAGAACCCGAAGGACGGGGCGTAAAGCGAGCCCGGACAACGGCTAGTAACTTACTCCATCAGCGCATCCAAGAAATGAGAGAGGAATCAGTCGTCGGTAGTTCCGGAGACGAAGACTCATCAACCATGGACGTAGATGAGTATTCAGATGCTAACCCCAAGCGTGGACGCCCAGCCGGTAGCAAGAACGTAGCTCGCCGCAGTGACTTTGGAGTAAAGAAAGGCCCACGAAAGAAGACGAGCGAATCGGGAACCCCAGCCCCCTCAGCACATGGCCCAAACGCTCCACCACCAGCACTGAACTCCATGAGTGAAGGTCAAGGTCAGTTTACTATTGATGCCCAGCCGTTCCCGGAAGGCATACCCATCATGGCACCGAACTCTGCTGAGACGGTTTTTCAAGGCACACTACAGTATTCTGCGCCCAACACAGAGGTACCACTTGTGCATCCGAGCGAATCCAGTACTCCTGACGCGTACATGCTCACTGCCCCCCTTAGTCAGTATACAGCCAACAACAGCTACGCGGACGACTCATCCCCAGCGTCAGGCTCGCGACGCAAACCGCGCGTAAAATCAGAGAAGCGCAGTCAGTCCATGACCATGTGGTGGGCCGAACGCAAGGCAAAGAAGCGCGAGGAGGAAGCGCAGGCCGGAATTACCCCAACACCCGATCCGCGCGAAAAATCCGCGACGCAGAAGGGTGCCCGGCAGTCTGAAGGCTCGGCGACTGGCGCTACACCGCAGTCGCAGCCTTCGCATTCCCAGCAAGCATCTCCGATACACCATCCACAGCACGCTCCTCAACACAGTCCCCATCACCCTCCGCCAGAAGCGTACCTGCAGTATACCCAAGGCCCGCCGCAACACTACATGTACCTCAGCGGACCGCCTCCACCACAACACATGATGATGCAGTACTCGCCACTTGCGGCCCTTCCCACTGGTTCTTTCCCTAGCCCATATCCCCATCACGCGCCACACGCCCACAGCGGAATTCCCCTTACCCAACCCCCGAGCACAGCAGGCGGACCGTTTGGAGGTCCCCGCCAACTCGCCCCAGCACCCATGAACATGCCCACATACCCCAGCCCGTACGGTCCCCAAAGCCCAGCCGGTGGCAGACCCAAGAGCAGTGGCCAGTCACTGCCAAGGAGTGCTGCTACTACCGGCCAAAACGGACAGCAGGTACTGGCACCCGCCCCATCTCAGCAACAACACCAGCAGCAGCAAGGACAGCATTTCAGCCCGTACGCACCGATGAATGTCGGAGGTGCTACCGGTCGCGAGATGCCGTTCAAAGTCATGGTTCCCGGTCCAGCCCCAGAGAGGAGAGGAAGTCGTTAGAAGCGATTGTCGCCTCGTAATGAAGATGGAGGCGAGGATAGCGATGACAGTATATACGTGCTTGATTGATTGATTGATTGATTGTTTTTCGCGATAGAGAGCTGTGCTGGGCTGAGATGGGCGGGTTTGAGTGTTTCACTGAACGATGCGAATTAGAACGGCTGTTAGTAAGCCTGTGTATTATAGTAATACTACTGAAAAATTGCATTTGCCCGGCCTTCACGCTGGGCGTGCTGCCATGAACTTGATGTATTTGCATTGTATTCCCCCGTATTACCGAGGACATGTTACATTTACTCTTGTTCTACGACTTTTTGATACTGGCAGAGAGCTATACCAGACTTGTGCAATTTTCTGATGATACCTACGAGCTTACATGATCATCTAAGTGCATCGTGTTTGCGAGAACGTGTGGGTTATATGTTTCAAGTCGCTGGCGTGGGCTACTATCAAATCTACAAACTCCGTATAAACATCTTACTAGACTTCCAAGCCAGCGGCAGCGCTATTCATCCAATTAATCGCACTCGCCCTCCAAGTATCTTCTTCCAGACTGATGCCACTCTTCCTGAAGAGCATATTCCTTGCGCTTCCTTTTGTGTATGTCGGCCAGGATGTGCTAGAGTCCAGAGCATAATGCGCATTCGGCGAGAGCTCGTTAACAAAGCTCAACCACATCCTGCACATGCACTTACTGAGCCGAACAAGATCGTCACGTTCTTCAGTAGAGTTGGAAGCAAGAAAATTGACCTCATGTCCAACACCATCGACATTGCCAAACACGAACGGTATCTCTGTGTAGTGCGCGGCACCTAGAGTCTTGGGCGAAATACCGCTGCCCACAGTATCAAAGCGGTAGCTGTAAGCAGGGACACCATATTCAGCCCACGTCTCTGTGGCGAAGCGTCTTGCAGCAATGAAAATATGATCGCCTACGAACAAGGTAGTTCTTCCGTATAGACTGCCGTACTCTGGGCTCGATGATGGCAGCACAGTACCGAGGGAATCTTGTAGATCTGCAGGCGACATACGCTCGAGGTATTCAGCAGCGATACTATCCACCGTCGTACTGGCTATGCCAGGACCCAAGTATCCCGCGACAACTGCCCGGAACTGGGTGGGCTTACTTATACCTTTCAAACCCTGACTTATGGTGAGAGATGTACCCTCATTCGTATTTGCACCAGCAAGTATAGGCACCCGTACAAATCTGCCCTGCTTCAGAGCCATGCGCGAGTTTCCATCGAAGAACTCGCCGTCCTGAACTGGGATCAATGGTTGATGTTGGAAAATGGCTTTGAGCGCCTCGGCGGGTAGACTTCTCAGGCAGTCGAGCGTGTCCTCCTCGAGCATGCAACCAGTCTGCCTGAGCAAGTTGTCGTAGAAGTCGTTCTGCTTCCGTAACGACATCCCCCTCGCAACAACCGCCGGTCCACCACTCTGCACAATCGCGGCGCGAAAGAGGCCCTCATCTTTCCCTCCAGACGCAACAAGATGATGTCCAACTGACATCGCACCCGCCGACTCTCCCTGTATCGTAACCTTTTCCGCATCTCCACCAAACGCAGCGATATTCTCCCTCACCCAACAAAGCGCCATCCTCTGATCGTGTAGACCCAGATTCGCATTGCCAGACTCAAGTACCGCGCTTCCGGGCAGGAAGCCAAAACCAGATAGCCGGTAGTTAATCGTGACGCCGATGATGGGCGCGCCGACTGTGACTGATTCTTGCACGAGGAAAGACATGTTATAGCGTTGATCCCCGCCACTGCCTTCTTGGAAACCACCGCCGTGGATGAAGAGTAAAACGGGGAGTTTAGCGCCTTTGTTGAGACCAGCGGGTCGGACAACATTGAGCGTTAGGCAATCTTCGCTCTCGGGGTAGGATGGCGTGGTTTGTGAGAATACGGATAGGTTTATGGATGTGGAAATGCATCCTGGTCCGTAGTTGTTTGCATCGAACTGTCCTAAGGGATGGGCAAGGGGCGCAGTGCGGCGGTAGCGGAGGGGCCCGGTTGGGGGTTGGGCATAGGGGATACCGAGGAAGAAGTCTTGGTTGTAGTCTAGGTTGTGTATTCCAGTGAGGGTGCCGTTGGTTGTTTTGACTGTCGGATAGAGGGTAGAGGCACTTGTAATGTTTGTTAGAAGATACAGAAGTAATGTTTTGACCTCCATGTTCAGCATGTCTGGTAGGTAGTAGATAGGGAATAGAACGATCTACCTGTTGTGGAAGCACCTATAGAAAGGATTTCTCGAACCACTTATGTACCTACCTAGCTACACATAACAGCATTAAACAGCAACCAAGTTGAGCATCCAAAGACGTCTCTCGCGTACTCGTTTGATAGTAGGTAGTCGGCCCGAAGCGAGCTCGGGACGGATGTTCATGCTATCCGGTCGGGCATTTCGAGCGAGAAGTGGATCAGGCTCTTGATAGTAGGCCTATTGGAACTTGTGCTATACGATCTTTAAAACCTGGGCACAGTCGACTGGTGGGCGGCCAAGGCTCAACGACCTCGGGGCGTAGTTGTACAGCGGACTCTCTTGGAGCCGCACTGGGCGGTGGGTTTCTTGCTTAAGCCATGCTCGAATCTGTTCCAATCATGTATCGTTAGGAACCAGACAGTGGGCCGAGGCCAAGGTTGCAGGCGCGATGATCCCTTCCGAAGGCGGGCCGGTCACTCAAAAGGCTGCACTAGGCGTCGTGAGAGCTTAATGGACGTAAGCAGTTTCGCGTGCCGATATAGCGAGACATTTCGACAGAGCCTGTAATGCTGACTGCTCTTCACGATGGAGAATTAGAGTATCTCGGGACACGTGATGGTGCGGCTCAAAGTATGCAGGGGTCGGCTCGCTTATCTGGCATCGATCTGGATCCTCCATGCGCCAGGTACCATCTGCGTCATCGATCGGTGCTAAATCGACGCGACAGCTGAACGCGTCGAGTATAGCACGGCAATGGCTTCATTAAATCCTGTTTCAGGAGGTTATCCTCATCTCGCCCATTCTGCGGTTCCACGAAACGCGTATGCTGCTCGCGCGTCCGAGGCTCCTGTTGTCCCTCAAACCCCTTCTACGCATACACCCATCCCCTCCCGCGAAGAGACTAGCCACGATGCCACCGAAACGTAAAGCGAGCATACCCGCTAATGCGGCATCCGCGAAGAACTACACCGACGTATCCGGCGACGCCCCCAACAAGCGTTCGCGCATCGCGAAACCTCTTCCGAAAGCCACTACGAGCGATGCGCCTCCCGTAGACTCGATAGCGAAGAACACCGAGAATGGAGCGCCTGGAGGAGCAGTGAAGAAGGAGGAAGAAGGCTTCGATCATTCGAGGCCAGAGGAGAGAGCCGGCATAGTCGATCGACGATACTATCCTGCTGAGATGAGCAATGAACGATGCGCGTTGTATAATCAGAATGAGGTACCGCGCCCGATCGAGATTCTGAACAAGACGTTGGAGAGTACAAAGGACAAACGAAAAGCTATCAGAGAAGGGAAGAAAGCGCAACATGGCGACGCGGTGGTACACTGGTTCAAGAGGGATCTGCGGATAGGAGATAATACTGGCTTGTCTCAAGCAGCAGAATTGGCGGAGAAGAAGGGAGTGGGTCTGATAGGCGTTTGGTTTATGAGCCCGCAAGACTGGGAGGCTCATCTGGTCAGCCCGCCAAAGTGTCATTTCGAATTGCGCTCTGTGGAGACACTCAAGAAGGAACTCGCAGAACTGAACATCCCCCTCTATGTCGAAACGATTCCCGAGCGAAAGAACGTGACAAAGCGGTTGGTGGAGTTGGCAGAAGAATGGAACGCGAAGAACGTCTTCTGCAACCTGGAATACGAACCTGACGAGCTTCGGCGGGAGGGGCGCTTGGTACGCATGATGCTGGAAAAGGGTATCAACTTCGAGCCGCATCACGACGACTGCGTGGTACCACCTGGTAGTCTCAAGACAGGAGGTGGAAAGCAATATGCGATGTACAGCCCTTGGTTCCGATCATGGGTTGCACATCTGCATGAGCATCCACATCTCCTGAACGAACGCCCTGCGCCCGAGCGAAACCCACCAGCCTTCCGCAAGAAATTCACTCAGCTCTTCGACACGAAAATCCCCGATCTACCAGAGTGCAAAGCGATGACGGCAGAAGAGAAGGAACGATTTCAGCAACTGTGGCCCGCGGGTGAGGCCGCCGCTATGGATCGCCTTGAGCGCTTCTTGGAAGAAAAGGTGGTAAAATACCAGGACACGCGCAACTTTCCCGCGATGAACAGCACCGCGCGCGTGAGCGTGCATCACGCTGCTGGCACGCTGGCGGCACGAACCAGTATACGCATGGCTCGAGACGTCAACAGCGCGAAGAGGCTCGACGGAGGAAAGGACGGCGTCAAAGGCTGGATGTCAGAAGTCGCTTGGCGGGACTTTTATCGGCATGTGCTTGTACACTGGCCCTACGTTTGGTATTCACAACTATCCCATTGCTTACCATGAAGATGCTAACAAACCCCCAGCATGAACAAGCCCTTCAAATTCGAATACACAAACATCGAATGGGAATACAACGACGCGCACTTCCAAGCCTGGACACAAGGCCAGACCGGCTACCCCATCGTGGACGCCGCAATGCGCTGCCTCAACCACACAGGCTACATGCACAACCGCCTGCGCATGATAACCGCCTCCTTCCTCGCGAAACATCTCCTCCTCGACTGGCGCCTCGGCGAACAATACTTCATCACGCACCTCATCGACGGCGATTTCGCGTCCAACAACGGCGGCTGGGGCTTCAGTGCATCAACAGGTGTAGATCCACAGCCCTACTTTAGGATCTTCAACCCGTGGACACAATCGGAGAGGTTTGATGAGCAGGGTGAGTTTATCAAGCTGTGGCTACCGGAGCTGGCAGAGGTGGAGGGGGCGGCTATACATAACCCGTATGCGGCGGGTGGAAAGGCCGCGCAGATTGCGAAGGCGAAGGGCTATCCCGAGCCGGTTGTTGAGCATAAGTTTGCGAGGGAGAGGTGCTTGGCTAGGTATAAGGCTGGTATTGGGAGGAACACTGCGTGAAGAGTCGTTGATGAGATGTTGAGGCATGTCTGGCTGAAACTCAGTTGTAGCATTTGTTTGGGCACAGTGCATTCATCTCTAATTGACATAGTTGTATCTTCCGCAATCTATACGAATTGTACGCAAGGAAACGCTCTCGAATGAGGAGTTTCGCAACCCCAAAAACTCCAGATGACATGTGCATTGCGATCCGTTGCTCGAGGCCTGTTATGTGGTAGGGATCTGCAATGCGGGGCCAATGCGCGACAGTCGGCCCGAGCAATTCGACCAGATCGCTTTTGTCGTGTTCCCCATCTTCCTTCTCGCAATAACGCAAGAACAGTAAACACGGCTGTTGTCGATTGGAACTGGCGTCATCATTAAATCCCTACATGGTTACTTACGTTACCGCCGCATCAGCATTGATCAGCTTTTCTGCAGGATCTGACGTGAAAGCTTTCTCCGTCCCCCTTAGGAGTTGACCTCAGAAACTGCGACCAGCTATGGAGAGAGAGAACCGTACCAATTTCGTCAAGCCCAAACCAATGGAACCGGCAAAGAGACCCTGGCCGCTCCTTGACAGTGGTCACACAGTGCCAATGCCGTATGGAGAATTTCACAAAGAGACGGATGAGAAGGTCAAGTCAATAAGGGACGACTATTGCATACTAAACGCCATTTTGATAAGATACGAGGGCGTTATACGGAAAAGATGGACGAAGAAGACGCGTACTCAACGTAAAGCTATTCTTGAACGCTCATGGCATACGCAAATGCCGCACCAGCATCGCCCAGACCTTCGCGACTACTACAGAGTCGAAAGACGAGAGTTCAGCGAGGCTTCCACTTCCACGATCAGAGAAGATGTATACAAATGGCCATATATCAATACGGAGGACCTCGTGACTCCAACACATGTTTTACAACTTCTGAACTCTCGCGGACGGACTACACCCAACAATTTTGCCGAGACGGACTGGCAAAGCTCAGAGCTCGGTCGCAACATCAACGTTATCAAGGTGCGTCCGATATATTACGACCCAAATGACGAAGGCCAACACAAAGCTCTATTGGAAGACGAATCCAACGGCAAGGAACCCGAAGATTCGGAAACTGAGGAGACAGTACGCGAATGGAAAGACAAATACAAACCCAGCGAATGGGGTTACTATCTGATGATGCATCCTACTGATCTACAAGAATACGGGTATCCGGTCAAGCTTCCGGTCGCTCTGGAATCTCAAAAAAATGTGAGGCGCGCGAGCGAGGCTCTTATCGTCCTACAGATACAGCAGCCCCTGATGGCCTTCCTCGTCAAAATCTGCCTTGAGCTACTTCCCGACGTAGAAATCAGTCTGGAGAGGATCACGGCCTTCTTCCAAGCCCCCGAGGACCTCGAGCCCCTTGCGACCTTCAACCGAGCCCCCAAACAGCCCGAGCCCCCCGAAATAAGGACGACAAAAGAAGATGGATGGGACTCGGCTTTCGCACTAGCCCAAAAAATCCCATACTCCGTCCCACACTGGACCGACTTTGATACAATCATGTCCTCTATAGCGGCTAGGATACACGAGTGGGAGGACCATGCCTGGGCTATGCGCGATGATCCATCCTATTTCACTAATGCTGTTGGCGAGTTCTGTAAGTGGGATGCGCCGTGAGGAGCATCGGTTGAATCACGCTTACTCGATGCATGTAGATGAACACGACCCTGTACATCTTTTGGACAAGAAGGGAAGGAAAAGTCCCCAACTTACTGATCCAGCCCTTCAAAAACACCTTTGGCACGTTAAGATATACGTGATCATAATGGATCAATACAGATATCTTACCATGTGGCATGCTGCACAAGTTGTTCTACACACGGTTATTCAGAAGCTGTTGGCACGGGTGAAGAACCAAGAAGAGCATGATGCATGGGTGGAGGCTGTCGCGTCGTTGAAGGATTTACTTGATATGCGCCTTATCAAAACTCTAGCTCCACGGTTGCCTCATTACCTCATTGGCTCACCACCGGTGCGCGGCATGTTCGTATGTGACCATACAGTTCCAGAGGAAGTACCCCTCCTCAGAGACCCGAACTCTGTTGGCAAAGACTATTTGATTTGGCTGTGTTCCTTGCTCTGGTCTAGGGAAGGTCTTGGGGTTCCTCATATTGTAGTCAGGGAAATGGCTCGAGTCACACAACAGGACAAGGACCAGAAGTACAGAATTACACCCTTGGTCGCACAGGTCAGTCATTACCCATGTAAGAAGTGCGTATGAGATAGCCACTGACCTCGTACACGTTGGTAGCTCGTGTCAGACCTAGCTATTTGTTTTGAACTACGAGCTCGCCTGCGCCTGCTGTGCCCACAAGCTTTCAAACCTGATGAGCAGTACTGTACCATTGGGGCCGACCGCGACCATCCCGAGATGTTCATGGAGAATACTGTGAGAAAACTAATCGAGATCTTAGACCCGGAATGCGGTCCAGAATACCATGCCAAACGCCGACATGATCTTCTCCGTCTAGGCGAACTCGGGCATCCAAAGACAATGCCGTACCCTGTCGGCAAGCGAAGAACCAAAGAGAACGTCGAGATTATGCAGGCTACTGAACGACGGCTCGATGAGCTTTGGGGCAAGTTCGATGCTTACGTGCGGAAGTATTTGAATAAACAACAACGCGATTGTCTAGAATACCTAGCGCCGTCAAGAGGACAGATACAACGGACGCCAGACTGGATAGAACCGGCGAAACCTTCTAACAAAGCGAAGAAAGATGCTGCCCTGCAGGAATACATTACGCCTCTCATACCGGAGCAGCAGCCCGACCCTGTAGACCTCCCAATTCGGAGTGAGAAGCGCAAGACCAGGGGGGTTGCGAATGATCCTCCCACTGAGCCTGTCGAAGTCGCAGCGGACTTGCAGCCAGTCGCTTCTGAGGGAACAAACACTCCGCCTACACCGCGCTTCACCGTTGGGAAAAAGACACAGCACACATTCTCGACTATATTCTTTCAGCCGTCTGCAAGCTCGCATCCTGGTGAGGTCCCATGGACTGAGTTTCTCTCAGCTATGAACACGATTGGCTTCTCACCCGAGAAGGTGTATGGCTCTGTATGGCGCTTCACACCGAGAGAGGGAGGTGTCATTACGGCAAAGCAGCCAATCAATTTCCACGAGCCGCATCCCGAGGGAAAATTGAGATTTGAGGTAGCAAGGAACTACGGGAGACGATTGACAAGGAACTATGGTATCGATGGTAGCAGCTTCATTGTCGCGTAACTGTGTGTGTGCGAACTGCTCCAGATATCTTACCGAGCTACGAATACAATTGCTTATTCCATATTGACATGCAGAAAAGATGTAACGCATTGAATGTGCTAAGATGTCGGAATATCCTCCTAATGACTATCCCATACGTAGGCCAGAAGGCCCTTACAGTGTGCACAAGCACTACATTCACGAAGCTAGGGTCTGTGTCTACTCCTAGCATCCTGTAATCGTTGGAGAACTGGCGGCGTGATATTGTCGTAGTCTTCTCGCTGCCCAGTGATCAGAATTCTGTGTACTCTACCTCCTCTGTATACAATAACTCTCTGGTCCTCCGCTCTAGCTCATCGTTCCACAACAGTCCCAGCTTTTCAGCCAGTGTCTTTCGAAACCGTTTGTTCTCCTGCCCTGGCTTGTGTAGTCCACAGAAAAAGACCGTTTCGAGATAGACATCTATCAATGGCTTGTCGTAATCTGGCTCAATACCACCGCTGTCCTGACAGTCAGAGCTGATACCGAGCATCGCATAGATGAGGTCGCGGGGCTCGGAGGTCTCGAGACCTCTGCGGCATGCCAGTCGCAACCATGTTATCAGACGGCTTGAATCCATGGGCAATCGCTTTCTTGTTGCCAATGCATTGGCAGCACTCTGCTGAATCGCTGATGATAGTTCCTTACGGTCAGGCCTCTCATCGCGTGTCATCCGACCAAGGATGTGATCGAATCTTTGGTAGCTCAAAAGGCCTCCCCAACTGGGTATGATGAAAATCTTGCGACCCAGGAACACCTCTTGTTGCACCCAAACGCGGTTCCAGTATGATCTTTGACACAGCTCAGTAATCGCTGGATAAATAGTATCATTCCATAGTGGTTCCATCCCCGCGTAGGCATGGGATGGATGGTTGATCACTTCGATAGCATATGCAACATGGTGGTCTGTCATACCAAGCCATAGTAGCACGTTCGCGGCTCGACGATAGATCGTACCCATGAGCTCGACTTGATGATTTCTTTCTCGCGTGTCGGACTGATTGATACTCAAAGCATCAATCCAGATTGGAACGTCGTCGTAATAATCATGTCTTCTTTCACGTCTAAAAGTAAGCAACGCGTCAAAGAGGTTGCGTCGCACAGTAAAGGAATGGCCATTGAGGAGAATAGCCGGATCGTCATCAGAGGGTGAGCCCCATTCGTAAGACAAAGCATTATAGGAGACCCGGCTCATTCTGATATGTTCGATATCGCACTCGATAATATCGCTAGCTCCGGACTCTTCTTCGGACTCTTCGGCGTGCCTGATGTAGATTGCGCGAATTGTGTCAGGTGTTTCCAGAAGCTCGTATTCGAATGAATTCACGGCTCTTGCTAAATTCGGTGCTCGAAGCCCTATGAGCCTCAGCTTAGCCAGCGTTCTCTGCTGTCAATAGTGTATATTACATGTTGTTCTCGCTTCCGGCTGTTCTTTCCTGAGCTGCAGTCTCTCAAGGATCGTTTTGATCGCACGCATCCGGACGATAAAGCCTTCTGAACTACCTGAGTATCGATACCAACGCGAAAGACCGCTTTCCTTTGCTTTGATTCGACTACGAGGCTGAGAGCTGAGAGAACGTACACACTATCGACGTGGTGTAGCGCTGAATAGAAGATATGAGATGTGAGAGCGTCCTGTCTTTTAGTGTCGCGTGGAAACTGGCTTTCTGGAGTAGGAATGTAGTTGTAAGATTTCCGAAGGAAGTATCGATGTCAGACGAGGGGTATCTTCAGCTGCCCGGGTGGGTGAGGCCCCGGGGGGCCAAGAGCCTTGGCTAACCGCATTTGGCCGCGCTACTGCGGCCTGAATCCTCCACCCGCAAGAACGTCATTCTCCCTGCTGTCGGCTTTCGCGGTTCCACATCAAGAACACTTTCGCTGATAACTTTCGGTCGTTTGCACGCATTAACTGACAATTTCCGGGATGGGTTGACTGTGACCAATGCGGAAATACATTGGATCGGAGCTGAGCGTTAGGCAGCCGCGCCCTGTGATCAAGCCACCTCTCATCGCATTTTGACGGCCATCCTCCAATGCATTCAGGCTTCCTTGATGCTCCAGAACTGCGCCACGCATACGCGATCGGATAATTGTCATGACACAGACTGGAAAGTGCGACACGTGTCGGCAGCGCAAGGTCAAGGTAAGACGCCTGTCAAATCTCGCCAAGAATCCGTTGCAAAGCATTGCCAGTCGTCGCGGGTTGGAATCCGTTCTTACTGATGGTTACATAGTGTGACGAAGTACGACCTAAATGTAGCGCATGTAAGAAGAAAGATAGGCCATGTAGCTACTCCTACGGCAAAGCTTCAGCATTCATCGTGCAGGACCCTAGGCAATTGACCAAGCATGGAAGATCCAAGGCTAGCTCTGTCGTATACCCATTGGGCTCTGCTGAAGAAGGTTCACGCTCGTCCTCAACAACCCCATATTCAGCAGATTCGACCTCAGCCACTGCCTCAGACCTCTGCATCACTACCGAAAGACACACCGAAGATCGCCTAGGTTGCTTTCAAACCCTGGCACCGCGTTCAAGATCTAGAATGCAGCCGTCGAAGATGAGAGAATACCGGCAGAATCTTGCGCTGAAAGTACATCTCCAGAAGCTACGAGAAGAGAGCCCTCTCGTATCATATCAGCCATCCTCGCCCGAGACGACCCTGATCTCCCGATACGTTGGCGTGCTCGGACCAGATCCCGCCGGTAGGCAGCCTTTTGAGGTCCTAGGGACCTGGATACAGTCCATTCCCTCGCGCATCGGGTCGAACAAGATGCTTGATCTGGCCGTCCAGTTCTTCGTCGACAGTCACGCTACATATCGAGATGACATGCACTCGAAGCGCAAGGTCGCCAGAGCTTCAAAGGCTAAAGCGCTCAAGGAATTGCAGCTCGCTGTGATGAACACTGATAACAAGGTCACGTACGACATTCTGTTGGCTACGAAATTACACTACGCTGCTGAGGTTAGTCAGCCTGTTGGACTTCGACCTGCTTTGCTGATCACATGCAGGCTCTTCTGGGGCTATGTACCCTGTATTACGCCATTCATGCGTTTGGAATCGCCGAGCTGCTAAGGTCGGGCGCGGTAGCGGAAGTCGACGACGATCATTTCTGGAATTTGATTGACAATACCTATGTCGACGATGTGAGTACTGTTCGGTGTTAGGAGTTCACTGCTGATGTCAAAAGGTGCACGAGGCGATGATGACGGGTCGAAAGTCGGTATATCACAACGACTATTACCTGTCGGCTACGATTCCGCCTCCGATCGATACAAGAGATGTCGTGCTGTCGCCATCACAGAGAGCGTCGATGGCTGTCATGCACGTTTTCATTCAATGCCCTTATGCGGTAGCATTGATCCGAGAAGCCA